AGAGAGAGAGAGAGAGAGAGAGAGAGAGAGAGAGCAAGAGAGAGAGAATATCTTATGAAGAGTCAGTGGATTAGTACTGCAAGTCCTTAAAGCCATGCTGGTGTGTAGCAGCTCCAATGAATACAATTGATGGTAAAATATCTCTGAAGACTCCACATTTAAGAGCACAGTGTTCTACAGTTAAATTACATCTAACAATTTATAAGACATTGGTACAGCCTGCCCATTCTTTCCTTCACCAACAGGTACTTGTCCCCAAGGAGACTCCAGCTCAGAGAGATCAGTTCTTTGTGCCCAAACCTGCCCTGGAGGTCTGTGTGACTTTGGCTCCTTTCTATAGCCAGGAGTGGGCTAGGCCCAAGCAAGACTCTGACCCTTTCTTGTTGGAATTCAACAAGAATCACTTGTTGATTTTAATCACTCTAAGGGGTTTCATGGCCCACTAAGGATGAGGCCCTTCAAGGCAGGCATTTCAGAGCTGGCATGGGTCCTTCTCACTTTATGGAAGTCACAACAACTGGATCAGGAGTGAAGTTCCCAGGGAGCATGAGAAAGGAAGGTTCTAGGGTAGGGCATGAACTGCACTTTCTAACAAGTTTCTGGGTTGATGACAGACAGGGTACTAATCTGCAGACAGGGTAACCAACTTGCCCAACTTTACACTGAAAGATTTTTTTATGTTCTTTTGAGACAGGATCTCCCTATAGCCCCAGCTGACCTGGAACTCACTATATAGACCAGGCTGGCCTAAATCTTAGAGAGCCTCCTACTTCTGCCTCCTGAGTACTGGGATTAGAGTTGTATTCCACCATGCCCAGCTTTACATTTCAAAGTTTGAGTTGACTTTCTTGGTTCTAATGGCAAGGTCATACGGAGGCATGCTTGTGCTGAGTTTCCGCCAAGCCTCCCAACTGGTCACTCCAGAGTCCCTGGAATAATCTTCTTGACATAATTTTTTAAAAACAGTGACTCTGAGGGCAGAGGGCTAGGGATGTAGCTCAGTGGGAGAGTAATTGCTTAGTGTATATGAGGTCATGAGTTTTATTTCCCAGCACTGCCAACAAGATAAATATATATTGTAAAATAAAAATGATGGCTTTTTGCTCTCTAGAAATGATGCCCGACTGCAGGTCTCAGCCCTCCAGGCAGGGTGGAAGTTATTTTATGGGCCCTGAAGTTTATATAGTCTTAGTGGCTTTTTCTTTTGCAAATTTTACCAAACATGACTGCATGAGCGAACTCCCTCTGGTCTGTCTGGCTTGAGGCCAAAGATGTACTCACATCTTCCTTCTGGGAAAATTCTATTCCATCTCTGTGATCAGTGACAGTCACTTCCCAAGATGACCACCTGGTGGCAGTAGGCTTACACAATCCCTTTCAATCCACTCCATCTCCAGAAATTTCGTTCTTTCCTTTAGCTGGCCCAGATCAAAAATTAATCTATGCTGTGATAATAGGCATAAGGAGTCTGTGTGCTGCTCTCTCAATAGCATGTTTGCCATTTAGTGGATATGCTAAAAGGTTGTTTTTAAACCCAGATAAAGAATGATAGAGGAGTTTCAGGCAGACTGCTGGATCACAGATCACCAGGGAGCTGTTTTTGCACAGGTGGGCCCTTTCTGTACTCCACAAATTGCATGCATGCAGGGATCCTGGGTCTTACCACTTATCCCCCACCTCCCCTCAATAGATAGCGTAACATTTAGGTATCAACTCTGGATTCTACCACTCGGGTTTAAGTTCAGGTACCAGCACTAAGGATGGTTGTCATTTAAATAAGGAGCTCAACATCTTTGTGCCTCAGTTTCCTGATACGTGTAAGAATGGGAGCAATACTGATTTCATATCGTTGTGGGGATTAGATACAACAAGACACCTAAAGCACCCCAGAAGACTAGCACATAGTGAACCCCAGTGAACTGCTAACCTTCAGCCCATACCTTGCCTGCCTCTTTTGTTGTTCAGAACAAACTCTCTCCATGATCACTTACTCCCAAGCAGGTGCCTTAAGAGAACCAGCAGGTGTGGGCTGGACTCCAACATAATAACCATGGCAGTTATTCTGGGCACAATGTTCATCAGACCCATGATTACCTTGAAAGTTGGGGCTACTTCCCAAGAATGCCCAAGTGTATAAAGGGCCAGGGGCAATAACAGGATCAGACTCCAGAGAGCCTGCCTCTGCATTTTTACAGAAGATAAATCTTTGAGTATCATCTTGTAGCTAACAGGAACCTAACATTTGCAGATGAGCAGCGTGTGCAAGGGTAGGTAGCTGGCTGTCATCAGGCACAGCCTGAGTCCACTTCTGGGTCTGGTCCACACATTCTTCAAGCTGATAATGGCTCCTTCCCCGCCCCTCACAATCCTGTGATTACAACCACTTTCAGCCTCATCTATACTAACAGGCAAAATGATACATGGTTCTAAAACTTTGCTGTGTATTTGAATCACCTGAGTTTTTACAATCTAATTCCCAGGCTAAATATGAAAACAACATCCGGACCTCTGGCAATGGGGCTCCTGCATTCTAATGCAAGTTTGAGACCTAATGTTCTAGAATTTCTTAAGCTGTAATGTTCATAGAAGTCACTTGAAGAATTGTTAAAACACATGTTCTAGCCGGGCATGGTGGCGGACACCTGTAGTCCCAGCACTTGGGAGGCAGAGGCAGGCGGGTATCTGCAAGTTCAAGGCTAGCCTGGTCTACATAGTGAGTTCCAGGACAGGGAAACCCTGTTTCAAAAAGACAAGACAAATATGTATATATATATATATATAACACGTTCTAGTTCTATAGCGTTGGGGGCCAAGTGTGATTCTTTTTTAAAAGCATTTTAATATATATATATATATATCGTGTGGGTGCATGAATATTCTAAGGAACTCACATGGAGGTCAGAGGACAACTTTTTGGAGTTGGTTTTCTCCTATAGTGAGTTCTACAGTGAGTTCTGGGGGATTAAACTCAGGTCATCAGGCTTGTCAGCAAGCACCTTAACCCACGGAGCCATCTCGCCAGCCCAGAACTGGATTTTCAAACTTGAGCATGTATCAGAATCAAGTGGACTTGTTTCACTGCACCCCAGCTGAAACTTTGTTCTATACATAACATTTCTAACATGCTCCCAGGTGGCAGGGATAGAAGAGGAAACTGGAGCTATCAGGTGAGGTGACCTAGAGTCCCCTGTGATCCTGGTTAAGTTACTTAAACTCTCTGAATTAAAATTCTCTTCTCTATAAAGTGGTTATTGGGCAAGATCAACTTAGCTAATATGAAACGTCTAACAGATAGATAGCCTGGTGTGCTGGATCTCAGACTTGATTGCAAACTTGAATTGCCCCAGGGACTTTAAAAACAAAACCATGGTTGTTTACTGGTTTGGGGTAGGTACTAAGCATAAGAATTAAAATAACATTTTGGGAGGAATGGCCAATACTGTGGCTCCCAAATTTCAGTGTACACTGGGCTGGGCTCACTCCCAGTTTTTGACTCATTTTGACTCAATAGGTTTGGAATACAGCATTTCTTTTTAAGTATATGTAAAAAAATTTAAAGTTATGTGCATGTATATGTGAGAAGTCAGAAGGTGTCAGAGCCCCTAGAGTTGGAGTTACAGGTGGTTGTGTTGCCTGACATGGGTGCTGGGAACTGAATTTCGTTCTGCTGCAAGAGCAGTTATGTGCTCTTAACTGCAGCGCCATCTCTCCAGCCCTGAGAGCAGGCATTTCTACAGGCTCACAGGCAGGTCTAATGGGCCGCTTCCCTTTAGGATTACACTGGTCTACACCAGTGCTAATTAGCTGACCTGGGGTTGGAGAAGAATCCCTTTGCCCAGTACAGCACAGCATGTAGCATCACCAGCTGTCACAGCTATGCCACCATACCAGCTTACCTGGATTTGATGGGGGCAAGGGTAGGGCCCTGAGTGGGGGAACCTCTTTATAGGGAGGGAATGGGGGACGGTTGTTGGTGCCCTGGCATGGAAACGTGATGGTTGAGGGAGGGAGACTTGGCCGCCTGAGCAAAAGAAAGATGTGAAGTCAAAAGCCACAAGGAGGACTCTGGCTCCACATAGAAGTTTTAACCTTGAGAATTGCCCTGTCTGGAGATGGCATCCGCTTCCTGTTTCAGCGGCCAGCTTCCTGTCCCTGCCTGTGTTCTGGTGGTGAAAGGGAGCCCAGCTGGACAGGGGCTGGAGATAACATCAAGTGGAAGGTCACTGTTCCCTTTCAAGTCTGAGGTGTACATCTCGCAGCCTGTAGTCTGCCCGCTGCCATCAATCCAGCTTTGTGTTCACCGAGAGAAGCGCGGCCTGGAGCGATGGCAACAGGCTGGCTTTCTCAAGGGTGTTTCCTTGCCTGGACCCCCAAGGACCGCACTAGACAAAGCCCGCAGGTCTGCCTGGTCGCACAGGGCAGCAGGTGTCACCCAAGCAGCGTGGATGCAGAGTCCTGCAGACCCCGGAGGAAGCCCCGAGGGGAGGCGCACAAGCTGGGTGGGTGGCCCCAGGAAGCGACACCTCTCTAGCCCACGTCGCCGGCCACATCAGAGCACCAAGAGAACACCAAGTCTTTATTACAGGAATTCCTATGAAACAGCCCCAAGAAAAAAACACGCACAGGAGGAAAAACTAACAAAGCGACACGCACAGACGTGGGGCTGCGGCTCTCCCCGTCGCGACTGGCCCCGGAGCCAGGAGGGGGCAGCTGTCCTCCTCCCAGGGGTCACGGACCCTTGAGACCACGCTGGGCGGGTGATGGGGTGCCGCGCCCCCGGCACGACGCACGCTTCCAAACTTGGTCACGTTCGTCGCGCCTCTCTCCAGAGCCCAGGACGACTGAAGGCTCACCCTCGTCACGCCCCATTTCCTCCCAGTCTCTGGCAGCCCCCCAGGTCCCCTCCACCCAAGCTTCGGATTCCACGCCCAACCTGGGCCCCGCGCCTGCCCAGGCTTCCCAGCCCGTTCCCAGGTCGAGGGACGGGTGGGACACACGCCCTGCCTCCCTCCCCTTGGCAGTGGTTGGTGCCGGTTAAGAGTTCTTAAGAGTCCCGAGTGTTCTTCAAATCACCTTGTTGTCCGCCTGCAGCAGGGCAGCCGACAAACCCTTAAGGATCGTAGGGAGCCCCAGGCTGGCAGCCTCTGCAACTTGCACTCAGCCGTGCACCTCCTCACTTGGGAGTTGGGGTCCCTTTCCCCGCGGAATCTCCAGCAGCTCCGTCTTTCCAGCAGCTCCGTCTTAAAAGACAGCAGGACTGGTTCTGCTGGATGGTCAGAGTCCCTGACGGCCCCCACTGTAATGTAATTCTAGAACGGGCTTTTAGAAAAAAGACCCTGCTTAGACAGAATCCTCCAGCTCCGGGGTCACCCTCCCCATCCCTGCTGGGTGAAGGGGAGGCTGCTGGAGACCACAGCCAGCCCTTAATAGAAGCAGCCCTATGAGCTGGACCTGACAGGACTTGACAGTCCAAGGCTCTCCCTCCCTCCAAGAGCACGGTGCAGGTCCAAGCCAAGACCCTGCAGTGGGGCAAGGCTGAGGTGCAGGAGGCCTCTGGAAAGAATGGGCACGGGGAGTAGAGGATAGGGTAGATCAGGCAGGCCAACTATCACTGGCCAGGAGAGTGGGGAAGAGAGGCAGGAGTGCCTTCTAAAGACCCAAAGAGGGTCAATGGGCCAGTTCCCAAACTGCAACCTTGGCGATTCTGGGGGTTTTTGTTTGTTTGTTTTTTTAGTTGTTTGTGGGAGGGAGGGGGTGGTTCCTGCATTTCTGCTCCTTGCCCATGGAGGAGCCAGACTACCAAAGGGGCAGTGGCTGGCTACTATCTCTAAAGCTCCAGGTTTCTCCTCCCATCAGAAGATGGCAACTCCAAAGTTCTGCATCCCATGGAAAGTGGCAGTGACTGGGCTGGACTGTGGCGGAAGAACCCTGGGCCTTGGTACACAAGCACCATGTGTCCCAGCTGCAGCTGGAGCGCACCGGTCACCACCAGGTCAGAGTATCACTGGCAAGGTGAAGGTGTGGGCACCTGTAGGGGAACCGGAGGAGAAAAGAGTAAGTGAAGTTTTCAGAGAAGCCCAGGATCTTCCCCAGTCACTGGTTCCTGGTCAGCCTGGAACTCTACCTGGGATCACACCCACCCCCTATTTACATTCCTAAAAACCCAACTGCAGGGAACCTGGCAGCAACACCTGGGGTGGGGAAGCCTCTGTGTGGGAAGGACTCACAGGTGGGATACTGTTCAACCCACTCTGAGATATGTCGATGGCTAAGTAAAGGGACCTATAGTGGCAGAAAAGTAAACTGGGGCCAGAATTTGGTGGGCTTTAGATACCAAGCTGAGTTCCTAAGACTTTTGTTCAAAAGACCCACTCAGCAGGTGTGGTGGCACACACCTTTAATCCCAGCATTCCGGAAGCAGAGGCAGGTGGATCTTTGTGAGATCAAGGTCAGCCTGGTCTATATAGTGAGTTCCAGGCCAGCTAGGGCTACAAGGAGACCCTGATGAAAAAATAAGATCATGGAAGAAGTGGGACTAAAGGGGTGTCTGGTGATGGAATTAACAGGTGGGGCAGTGAAGGATTAGTGATTGGTCTATCAGGATGGGAAGGATGGGAGACTGACTTGCAGTAAGCTGATGCAAAACATTGAAAAGACAATCTGGGGTGCAGCGGGGGATTGGGAGCAGATCCGAAGGAGTAGCTGATGTAAAGAGGATGGTTGGGCTGCCAGAGTGGGAAGACAGAAGACAGAAGAGGGTTCAAGGGCAGAGCCATGGATAGTCACTGGAGGGAGGAGTGACAGGATAAGCATGTCCCATCATGCTTAAGTGTCCAGGATAAGCATCCTCCCTAGAAGGGAGGAGCAGAAATAAGCATGGCTCCTGGGGGCATAGGGGCCAAGAAGGGTTTCAGGAAAAACCTGGGGCATTGCAGGTATAAGAGAGAGCCAGAATTCAGGATAGGTCCTGGTGCTGACAGGCAACCTCCTTGAGTCAGTCCCCTCCTAGAGGCTGCCAGCTTGTAGTGGGTGCAGAAGGATGCCACTCTCCCATCAGTTGAGGACTACTGGTGTTTACAGTGGGGAGCTGGGAGGGGAAAAGCTTGAAGACTCAGGAGTGATGAGAAAGTTCTGAGATGAAGTGGCTTTGGGTATGACTCCTTTTTCCTGGGGACCAGAAGGATGGAGGAAGGGTTAAGAACAGAGGCATTTCCCTGGCTTCCCTTACTTGAGTACCCCAGAAAAGTGGGAAGCTGGATGCAGATCTGTGTGTGAAGAAAGTTTGGGGGTCATAGAAGAGGGCTGTGCCTGGGAGACAACCGGAGGGGAGGCCAGCTGTCCACACGGAGGGGAGGACTGCCTGTATTTTCTGGCTGTGCCCTATGGAGCCTGGTTTAATCTCACCTCCACAACTACCATGAAGGGAGCAAATACTCCTGCATAGTCAGAAACAGAGCTAGACCTGACATAAATCAGCTCAAGAAAGGCTGGTAGATGCTAAGCACTGGGACTAGGACAGCATCCGGGCAGGAGAAATTGGCAGGCAGCTTCTGGTTAGGGGGAAGGGGACATGCATGAAGAGAACAAGCACCTCTGGGTTCTGCAGGAGTTGTTGTCATTCCCTGTTTATCCCCCAGATGGGTGCACAGGGATTAGAGAGGAAAGGCAGCCCAGCACTGAGGCTCCAAACAGAAGCAGCTTTCTCAGGGCTATTTAATAATTTTTATATTTTATTTATTATTTTTATTTTATTTTATGTGTACAAGTGTATTGCCTGCATGTATGTAAGTGTACCTGTGTTATACAATGCCATGGAGTATGGAAAAGTGTTGGATTCCCCTGGAACTAGAGTTATAGATAGTTGTTGGGTACTGGGGATTGAACCCGGGTCCTCTGCAAGAACAGCTAGTGCTCTTAACCACTAAGCCATCTCTCTCAGCCCGTTTAATATTTTTTAAAGCTGGCCATGGCAGTATGCACCTTTAATCCCAGGGCTCAGGAGGCAGAGGCAGGTGGGCAGATCTCGTAGAGATCTAGACCAGCCTGGTCTACATAGTAAATACTAGGCCAGCTGGGGCTACAGAGCCTGTCTCAAAAAATTAAATGAATGAATGAAAGAAAGAAAGAAAGAAAGAAAGAAAGAAAGAAAGAAAGAAAGAAAGAAAGAAAGAAAGAAAGAAAGAAAGAAAGAAAGAAAGAAAGAAAGAAAATAAAGAAAAATCAAAGAAATAAAAAAAGCTGGTCTACTGGTTTGCAGGAGGATCTCATGTCCCCTGACACAAGGGAAGAGACAGGATTTGTGTTACCCAATGCTGGAGTCCAGCACCTCTGGATCCCTGAGAAGGCATATGGGGTTGGCAAGCTCTTTCCTGGACTGCCCCTAGGAACTGGCTCAAAGTCTTACCGCTTATTGTCCTTCTCTTAAGGCTTCCTCCACCTTGGGCACCTCCTGCCGCCTTCCCCGGAAGTCTTCATCTGAAAGGTAAGGGAAACAGCCTCATCCTCCACTCTATAAGACCTCACTTGGGCCTGTCCTCAGGCTGCACAGGGGAGCTGCCTCAATTCTGTCTCTTTGCTTGATTCTGATCCTGGGTAATGGTGCATGGGTGTGGTGGGAAAGGGCACCCAGGTGCTAGCCTGGCTCCACCATTGAGTTCTGAGGCCTTAGACAAGTTTTACCTCTTCTTTGGACCTCAGTTTTCTCATCTATCAAATGGGACAGGGATGATAAACTATCCAGAAGACCCTCAAAGTTTTCTTGTCTTTGATTCTGGGTATCTCCTGACCCTTGAAAGGCCTGATGGTATGAAAATGAGGGTTCAGCCATGTGTAGCCTGGCAGGGTCTGAGGCAAGGTCCTCTAGCCCTTGTAGCCCTTTGCAAGGGATTGGATGAAAATTGAAAGGCCCTGAGACTGAGGCTGTCTAACCTATGGTTGTTCGGGTAGGAGATCTGTCTGTCCCTCATTCCCCAGGGAACACTCCCCCAGGAGCAGTGCCTGGCACATTGGGCCCCCTTTCTGTGACTGTAGGAAGAGAGTGGCACTATGTACCACATAGGGAGGGTCCACATTTCTGTGGCCCACCTGCCCACCAACTCTTGATATGTCCCCCAGGTCATATAAGACACTCAGAACCTCCCACTCAGAACCTCCTCTTAGAGGGTTACTCATCACAGGCAAGTTGGAGCTCAACATCCCCTGCCCTGACTTACCACAAGCATGGCCCTCCACATCATCCAAGAGGTTGGCTGTTGACATGGCAGCCCCCAGCCTGCCCGGCTGTTCAGGAAAACTGTCCCAGCGATAAATGGGCACTGTCATAATTTGCCTAGTTTGGCCTGTGCTCTGCCCCACCAACTCACCAAGCTTAAGAGGCTTTCACCGTCCCGCCTGTCCCCCAACACCTTAATATTGTCCTTTCCATGCTCCTTTCTCAAGATCAGCTGAGCAACCAGCCAGGGCCTGACCCCTTACTCTGCTCCTATCTCCAGGGATACAAGAGTGACTTTCTCTCTGTTCCCCTTTGACTATTCAGCTTTCAACATCCTAGGCCCTTTGGGATGAGCATGGATGGCAATTTGGGTATGAAGATAGAGAAACATCTTTTCACTCAAAGAAACAAAAATGAGAAAGCAGGCCTCTAGAGACCAGGACACATGAGACTCGTTCAACTAGCAAAATTAGGGAAACATTTGCAGACATCAATAGAAGGACCAAGTTTTCTCCCAAAATGCAGATGACCCAGGATCAAAACTGAAATCATAGGAAGAACAACTTCCTAGAGAAGGAAGGTGAAAGCCACTGTCCCCGCCACAGGCCTAGCCATAGAGGTGGATAGTGGGAGGGTGGCCTGGGTTACAAAGTAAGGTGGGAAGGCAACAGAGCCTGATCCCATTCCTGAGGAAGGCCCAGGGGGGTCACTGCCCTTGGTATCCAACACCCCAACCCAGTGCCAAATGGAAGGATACGACTGATGCTTCAGTAAGTGTTTCCTCTTTGACTTCCTCATTTTGGTCTTCTCAGAGAACGCTCGGGCCAGTTCAAACAGCTTCCTGCGAGTAGCTGAGGCAGATAGACCTGTGAGCCCTTCATGCTCCTGGCAGCCAGAGCATCAGATGGCTTCCCTCTGGGTCTGGGGGCAGCCGGGGCAACACCAGGCCCTTGGGGTCGGGGGCTGGGGAAAGGGAAGTGACAGGAATCACAGACACCAGTGCCACCTCCAGGGCAAGGGTGTCATCCCAGGTTGGCCTGCAGGGGCAGCACAGGCCACTACTAGCCAAGCACAGAGCCCACCAGCAATCCAAAATCCGGGTATTCCTTCCCCAGCTGTGACAGCCACAAATCTTGGCTTTCTTTTCTGTCTGCTGCTACAGCCTTCCCGCCCTTCCCCAGCCAACTCCACAGTTGGTCCTGGGATTTCCATGACTAATCTGAGATTTTCTCCTGAAATAGAGCCTTGAAAGGTTCCTACCCTCATTCCCACTGGTTGGGGAGGGGAAAATGAGAAGACAGAAGCAATGGGAAGATGTCCCCTCCCCCAGAGGCCTCCTAGCCCTACAGAAAATGAACTTAGCAAGTGCCTCCCATCACCATCAGACCCTGCCAAGACCTCAAGCCACAGAGAATTCGAACACTGACACACGGGGGCAGGGGGATGCTGCACATTATTTTTCTGCAGACAGCTGGCTCAAGAGGATTTAAACTTAATTTGTAACCAGACTCAGCTGCAGAAAGAAGTGAGGCAGGAAGGCTGAGGGAGCTAGCTGGTGATTAAAATGTCACTTGAGTTCATCAAGAGTCAATAGTATTAAAAATCCTAGGGGGTGGGGAGCTCCCTCCCTCTCATGAGGCCACTGGGCTCACCTCAAAAGAGCTGGGAAAGGGAGGGGACAGGAGCTGGACTCACATTTTCCCATGTGTTTCAACTTGTCCCTGAATAAGGCATCTTCTGACACAGTGGGGTTGGTATCACCAGTTCCTGGAAGGAGGAGACACCTACTAAGAGACCAGGTTGTTGTGTTTCTGAGGTCCCACTAAGAGCAAGCAGCTGCCAAGGCCCCCTCAATGACTGTTTCAGTCTGCCCCTTCATTTAAGCAAGGGTGCAGGCTTTTTCCCTAACCACAGCAGTATAAAGCAAGGAGGACACTCAAGGTTCTAGGAGCACTTTCTTCTTGCAAAGCTCATTTTCTTCCTCTGAGGAAATGGGGGTGATCTTAAGATCTGCTAAGTGTGTGGGAAACTGGCTGACATAGGGTTCTAACTCCTCCGAACAGTACCATATTCCATGGTCATAATGGTAGTTTGGAATGAGCCAGGTGGGAGATTTACACCATGGAAGTCAGGAGGGACTGCAAACAAGGCTTCCTCTGTACCCAGAGCAGATTAACCACTGGTCAGTACATGGTGGTCCTGCACGCATCCTGACTCAAGGGTGAATCAAATTCGGAAGGACACAGAGCCAAGAACCCAGGGAGATCCTATCCTCCTTCCAGGCTCAGCCCCTCCACCACTTTCTCTCAGACATTAAACAGGAATGGGAGTGGGGCTTGGCCAAGAGTCAGAATCCAGAGGGCCACCCGGAGGGAGCTATCTGCCTCGCTCAGCACTCTGTGGGTTTCTCACTGCCCTCTTTAAACTGCTGTTTGCCATCCTGCAACTTGACTAATCCTGAGTCACCTTGCCTGCTAAGGTTCCTTTGAGTCACTCTGATCCATCTCAGCAGCCATAGCGTCCCTCATTAATTCAGGATCAAGGACAAGAGGCTCTGTAAAAACTCCCAGATGAACATCTGGAAGAGCCTAAGCTCTTGGCCTGTTGCTTATGAATCAGTTCTATGGGATTTTCTCTCTTCAAGCTGGGATCAGTGGGGTTCCTGACCCTTCTGCTCCTGTCCACCCAGCTTGAATGCAGGATGGAGGATCTGCTCCCAGCAAAGATGCTGAGCCTTTCTGTATGTGTCAATATGGGGTAGGAAGAATGACTGGTCAAGAGTCTGGAGTCCAGAGGTCAAGTATAAAAGCAGGACCTCTGGACTGCTGGCTCACACTCCCAACCCCAGCTCAACTCTCTGGTCTGTGCATCCCTTTCCAGCATCTGGAGAGAAGTCATGGGGGTAGTCTGAAATGAGCTGAGTCAGGGGATTTACACCAGGAACTGTAAACTGTGTTTCCCCGACTCTCTTGAGACAATTCTTCCTCCTCACCACCATGTACTCAATGCTTACACCCATGCAGAGCATGACTCCAGGGAGATACTCCTCAGCTACTTAAGAAAATGAATGAGCCCTTCCCAGGTCAATCTTGCCCTCCTCCTCTCCATGCACTGGCTTCAGTCAACTTGTATGTCCTCAGCTTTACTGCTAGGCATACCTCCTTAAACAAGCCCCACAAATCTCTGAGGCCTTCCTATGCTTGGCTACTACAAAAGAAATTTACACAGTGCAGTGTGTCCTCTTGTAGCCCAAATCCAGGCACAGGTTGGGAATTCAGCCAGCCTTTCCTAGGTCAGCAAGAACGCAGGGCTGCTCAGTGAAGATAGCATCTCACTCCTTAGGAAGTGTCCCTTCTAGCCTGCTAGGTGTGTGTGGGGGGGGGGCTCAGGCCCCCACTGTCAGTCTGTTTCCTTACCCTACTCCTAAGCTTTCAATGTGCAAGGTAAATTTGGGGTGTGAGCCCACCTTGAGCATCATTTTCTCTCTCAGAAGGACAAGGTTACCTGGGATGGAAGAGGGAAAGCCAAAGTCATTTCCGACAGCCATGTTGCTGGATTTGGATTTTTGGGACTCATATTTCTGTCGATCTGGAAAAGAAGGAAATTTTCACTTTACTATCAGGGAAGTGAGTTCCTGGGCTCCCAGGAAGAAGCACAGTGAAGGTTACTGGAGGCAGAGGGGCCAGAATTACACACAAGTATTCTCATGCACACAGAATATGCAAGTATGTCTATTAACTCTCGAAAAAACTATGATAATAGAGATGATTGCCTGACATGTATTCTGAATGTTAGAATGTCATAATGAGAAGCCCCTGAGGGTCCAAGCTCTATTTTATTATACTATTTTGAGACAGGGTCTTGCTGTGTAGTCCAGGCTACCTTGGAACTCATGATGCTCCTGCCTCAGCCTCCCTAATGCTGGGATTACAAGTATGTACTAGGATGCCCAGCCAGACCTCTTATTTCAAAGGAGAGAGCAACACATGTGCTGCCTGTGGGCCTTCTCCTTCCAGCCCAGCATTCTTGAAGTACAACTTGCTCTTCCTCTGTGAAAACACATGAGGGTTCCTCATTTTCCCCTGGCACCTCCTGAGCTCAGAGGCTAATGCCCATCCACATCACTCTCTTCTTCAGTGGTGGGGCTCAGTGCCCACCTCTCTCCAGGGCAAGGAGGAAGTCACGGTTGCGCTGCAGCTCCTTCATGAACTCCTCGTTCTGCAGGAAGAGTGCAATCCTCTCGTCCTCTAGGTACTGCTTCCAGCGGCTGTCCTGGTCACAGGTGCCAGGCCCAGGTGCTAGAGGTGGGCCTCCCTCTCCACTCAAAGGCTTGGAGCCTCCAGGGTGACCCTGAGGAGGAGCAAGTATGCGGCTGCCTATTTCAATCCATATACAGCTGTATGCAAGTGTGCTTTCCCAGGACCTTTCAGCCCCACCCCAAAGCCCATTCCCCCCAAAAGGGGCCCAATCAGCTGTCAAAATTCACAAGAACAGCTCAGAACTGTCTGTTGCAGAAGCAGGAAGAACATCAAAGGGGCTTTTCCTCTCAACCTCTGGCCACCTCATTCCTCCTTCTATAACCTAAATAGTCCTGAAAAGGGATTTGCACACTGCTCAACTACCTGCCCATGGATTCCCAATCTCTCTTCTTCCTATACCAGTTGTCTGGGGGGCTAGAGGGAGTGAGACCCTCACACCCTACCAACAAGGGCACCTTGGAACATGCCAACATGTCAAAGAAGCTTCAAGGGAGAAGAGGGAGCTGTGCTGGACCTCTGCCGCTTCCCTTCCCTCCAGGTGATGGCTATAGCCATAGAGCCTCCACAGGCTGTCACCTTCTCTGGACCCAACAGGAAACCATCAGGCCAGATAGTAAGGGTCTTGGCTCACTGTTCTTTCCCTATAAATCCTGGGCAGCAGAAACAGCTAGGCCTAGGCTTAAAAACCAAGAAGCAAAATTGGCTGGTGTTGATTATGTGGGCCAGGAGAGATGCTGGGCAGGCAGGTAAGTATGGAGGTTTGGGGGCAGCTGGCTACCTGTATGCTGTCCAGCTGCTGGGGCAGGATGCGGAGAAAGTCATCTGGGAGGCTGCCCAGCAGGGGAGGGTTCCAGTTCCTGTAGCGCCTCTGGCTTGCAGATTGTCCTGAGCCCAGCATGTCAATCCTGGGGGATGGAAAGCAAGAGAACAGGGTAGTCAGGCCTAGCTACAGCTGTGTTGGCCTGTCATAGGTCCTCAGGCAGGGCGGGTCTTAGAGCTCCCCATACCTGCTCGGCCTCCAGGACAAAGGCACAAGCACTATGTTCTGCTGAATCAGGGAACCAGCACACCCAGAAGGCTCGCAGCTGGGAAGGGGGGTGTGCAGGGGCACGCTCCCTCTCATCACTGGTGCTCTACCCAGTCAGCTTTCCTTAACTCCTTGGCCTTGGCTTTGGGCTTAGGCTGCAATATCACTCAAGGCCTCTGTTCAGTCCCTCTGGGGCAAATATCAGTGTTGGGGATTTAGACAAACAGGCTTTATAAATGTTCCCTACAGGCCAGGGGTGAGGTGGTATCATACCCTTCTGTGCCTGTGTCCCTAACACCTGGCACAGTGTGGAGCAACTGAGTAACAGGGACCCTCCCAAGAAGAGACCTAGCCTGCCAACAGCCCAGTCTGTCTTGGGAGGGGAGCCCCCTAGCATTCCTAGATGATAAGCAGATCTGGGCTCCCATTCTGGCTCGGCTACAGCACGCAGCGTGGGGGTGGGGAGGTCTTGGGAAGACTGTTCCCCCACTTGTGCTTAGTTCTCACGACCTGCCAAAGTGCTGGGAGCCCCCTATGAGAGGGGGCTTGAACTGCTTCTTAGGAGTATGGGAAGCCAGTGAAAAGTTTTTGTTCCCGAGGGCGCTGTGGGACCTGTCTTCCCAAGCAAGGTGTGTATGTGGTAGGAGGCCAGGGCCAGGAGAGGCCTGGCCACCCTGACCTCAGGCTCCATCCCAACGCCCAGGCCTGAAGAAGCCTGGAGCCGGGCCAGGCACTCCCGCAGCTACTCGGCAGCCTGCAGCGTGGCAACCGCAGGACACGTGTTCTGCTGAATCAGGGAAATGACACACCGAGAAGGCAGCCCGCGGGGTGGTGGGGGCCGCTGGGCTCTGCCTGGCTTTGATTTGGCTTCCAGCTCCAGGAATCCCGCCCGCCCCCTCTCTAGAGGGGAGCTTTTCCGGCTGCCGCTGACTGTGGAAATAACTTCCTTTCCTTCTATTTTGGGCTGGTGGCCCGGTGGGGGCGAGGGGAGGGCGGGGGCGGCAGCAGACGGATAACCAGCTGCTAAGTGCTAGGAGAGCTCAGTTCGCAGCCTGGAGGCAGACAGGGAACCCTGGGAGAGGCACGGGAACCCAGAAAACCACTCCTAGTCCAGGCCTCCTCCACAGTGCTCTGACACTTAAGTCCCTGTCCTAAGCTATTTTCCTCCCAAGGCGCATCTCTCAGGGCCAGGGACATCACCTCCAGCTGCAGCAGGGAGAAAGCTCGTCCTTGGGCCTCCAAGTCTTCATCTGGGTAGTGGGGAGGGGGTCACCATCCCCAACTCAGCCACCTCTCAGAGCTACCACAGGGTGGCTGCAAAGGGAGAGCCCGGACTCCCACCAAGACCCTTCTAGCCACTGTGTTTCTGGAATGCCCAAGGGGGAGGGGAGACATGGGGGAACCCCTGTTCTCCCTGGGTTTCCCTGGCTGCTGGGCAGGGGTCCTTGAAAGAGGACAGCCCCCTCCTGGCCCTCGGATGAGGTCACTCTCAGCTGCACAAGCTGGGGGCCAGCCCAGCCCAGGCAGCTCAGGCAACTCCATTGTGGTTGGAAAGGAATGTCAGAAATGAGCTGAGGCAAATAAAAAACTTCCAAGGCTGTAATTTCAACAGAAAAACAGCAGGTGGCCTGTGTGGAGGGGTCTTCTGGGCTTTGGAGGCTCCAGCAGATGGAGGGATGGATTTGATGGGGGAAGGGAAGGACTGAGAAGGGGGGTCGATCTCCAGGTCCTGAGCCTCTGGAGCCCCAAAACTAGAACTTCAAGCTTCAGGGGATGCCATGCTTTCCCACAGAATGTTGACCTGGCTAGGAAGAATTTCAGAAATAGGCTTTTCCCAAGAGTTTTAGTGGAGTCTGGCCATGCAGTCTGTGTGGGCCAGACCCTGTCACAGGGCACACAGCTGGACATCCAGGCAAAATCTGGGTTCTAGGTCCTGGCATTCCAGACTTGTTCCTCTAGGATGGCCCTGCCTCTCAGGGCCTAGCAACACAGTATGCGAACTCTGAAACACTGCCCCATCTACAGGCTCATCCCAGGGACAAAGTAACAGGAAGGAATGAGACCATTACCCTTCCTCCAGTCTGACCTCCCCTAGCAGTCAGAGATTCCCAGAACACTAACCTGCTAGCACCCCACTACAGTGTAAGCCACTCAGGCTCCTGTGGCTGCAGAGTAAAGGGCATGATGCTTGGAAGTTCCATGGGGGCCCCACGACCTTCATGCCTCCCCATGCACTCTGAGCACACTTTTAGGAACTCCCCCAGGTGGTCCCCTCTTCCTGCCTCTGGGCCTTTGCACATGCCATTTCCTTTGCCTGAACACTCTCCTGTCCTGGCCTTTACTAGATTGATGCCAACATGTGTGAACTTCAGGTCACACCTTGGACAGCAGCCTTCTGGGCACCCCCATGTCTATAGCTTCCCTAGATTCTGATCCCCTTCAGGGGAAGGGGTCCAGGGAACAAGGTGGTGCTGTTCTTCTGCATCACAGCTCAACACTGTCCGTGGCAAGTGACACAACATGTGCTGGAAACAAACATCCTAGATGCAGAGACTGAACAAAGCTATGTAGATGGACATGGGAAAATCTAGACCTAGCAGGGCCACTGGGGGCAAAGGACATGTGTTCAGAGGAGGGCCCTACCTTGGAAAACACTGGCCTGTGGGGAGCTGAACCCAAAGCCAGTGAGTACAGCTGGGGCAGGATAAAACAGTAAACCACCCATTTTGGGCTGCTGTCCTTGGCACTGTGCTGAGTGCTCCACCTATTTCGGTTCTCATCATGGAGCTGAGGCACAAATTAGTAACCCCAGTTCACAGATAAATTAAGCAAAGTTCAGAGAGGTTAGGTCACAAGCCAGGGGCCACACAGCAGAGGTGCCTGATAAATCATCAATTTGGCAGTTGAAGGAAGGGGGCTGGGTGCAAGAGACTTCTGGCCAATTCTGCAAGTCAAGTTCTTTGTGCTGTGTCCACCTCCAGCCCAGTAGAGCCTTCATTTCCTGGGTAGGATCCTTAAATCCTAGGCAAGGGCAACAACCTGGCTAAAATCTAGTGTCTAAATGAGGCCTCTAGAGATTGGTCCATTCTAAGTCCACCTTGTCCCCAGGTGGGGCTTCCCTGCCTCTGCCCCATAGCAGGCTAAATACCAGTCAGAGCAGGGGAGGACAGATGGGGCAAGAAACCCGCACTAGCTCTACGCTAGCCTTTCTCAGAAAGAGGCAGAACTCTGCCTAACAATTACTGAGCTTTTTCTTTCTTTTTCCCCAAAGTATCTTGGAGGCCAGGGGGATGGCTCATCAGGTTAAGGCACTTGCTGCCAAGCCTGACAACCTGGGTTCAATCCCAGGGATCCTCATGGTGGACATAGAGAACTGACTCTTGCAAGGAACAAATGTTATGGTTTGGGTCTGAGCCCCTCCCCCAGGCTCTTGTGTTTGAATACCTGGTCCCAGCTGGTGGCACTACTTTGGAAGGTTGTGAACCCTTAAGGGAGAGAGGCTTAGTTAGCAGAAGTCATCAGAGATGGCCCTGAAAGGCTATACTGCCTAGATTAGCTCTCTCTGCTTCCTGATCTGTCATGATATGAAAACCCTTGGTCCTACCCTCCTGCTGGCACAGAATGGCTCCACCATGCCTTCCCTGCCATAATAGGCTGAAATCCCTCAGAAACCATGAACCAAAATAAACCTTTCCTCAAGTTCCTGTCAGTTTTTTTTTTTTTCTCACAGCAACACAAAAGTAATACAGGGTATTAAAAAAAATAATAATAACAAAGCACAAGTCAAAGGAAAATCATTTACCCCTGGGCTCTGTGAGCCACCAATGTGTGACCTCTATGTCCCTGTCACTCAGACCACTGACTACCACCTCCACCCACTGGAGCCTGCATCCCCTATACCATTTGTGATAGGTCCCAGCTCTCCCCTGTCCACTCAAATAATGCCTCCTGCCCTGCCCATCTACCTTTCCAGAACTCTCTTAGTTCCCTCTGCCATAGCCAGATTTCTCTGCAGGGAGGTGATAGGACACAGCAGTGAAGAGTCACAGCCTTAAAGTCAACCTGAATCCTGACCCCTGCTCTTACCCTTGGGGACCACAGCAAACCTCTCTGAGACTGTAAAATGGGTAAACAGTGCTTACCACCCAAGTTGTTGGTAAAGGGCCATGCCAGCCTCTTGCATTTGAAGGGTACTTGGCAATGGCAGCTGTTCTTACTGGCTTTCCCAGTTCCCCACCACCATTGTTCAGGGGTTCCCAAGATGCTCAGAAGGGGAGCTCACTGGAGCAGGTCCCTACCATCACCCCTTCCCACCTAGTCTCTTATTCTAAGAAACAGCAGCTTTGGGACAGAGTGACCACTCCTGGGCCACCAAACACAGGGACGAGAAAAACAAGCACCTTAGAACACATGGGACCTTGATGGCAGCTTGCTTCATTTTAAGCTTCCAATTAACAGAGTCCCAAGTCTGAGACAAGCCTCTAGGGACCTCGCAGTCTTAGAGGCTCATGCTCTCCTGCCTCTAGTCATCAAACTGTTCCAGAAAAAGAGACTTGTTCCCATTGCTTAAAAATGCCCCCAATAGGAGCTGGAGAGATGGCTTAGCAGTTAAGTGCACTTGCTGCTCTTCCAGAGGACTCAGATTTGGTTCCCAGCACCTATATTGGGTGGCTTACAACCACCTGTTACTTCAGTTCTAAAGACTCTGAAGCCCTCTTCTGGCTGCTGAGGGTACCTGCATACACATGGTCACATATACTCAAGCACATACATATACATAAAATAATAATAAATCTTAAAAAAACAAAAACAAAAACACAACATCCCAAGCCCAAGGATCACAAGCAGCCACCCCACAGGCAACTAACTGATGGTTATCTGGGAATGCTGTGTTGAGGGGGATTCTGAGGTTCATCTTGCCTCAGCAGGAAACAGCACAGTGATTAATTATTGATGTGTAATTAGTAGGGGAAGGGTCAGGACACTTTTGTGAGCTCATTCTCCCACTGCATCTCTCCCTTGACCACTCCCAGAAAGCAGAGGCTGCACCATACTTAACTGTGTCCCATATGAACACACAGCCTAGCTCAGAGGAGGAATTTGGTAAATATTTGTTCTCATAGTCTTTGTGTATGTGTGTATATGTGTGTATACATGTGTGTATGTTCATGTGTGTGCCCTGGTGTGTGCAGGGGCATGCACACATGTGTTGTATATGTAAGTAGAGGAGGCCAGAGGTTAACATCTTTCCTCAGTTGCTCCCCACCTGTGTGTGTGTGGGGGGGGTGCACTCATTAGTGTACGTGTGTACACACGAGTATTTGTGTTAAGGCCAGAGGTCAACATCAGGTATCTTTCCTTAATTTCTTTCCACTTTGATTTTTTTAAAGATTTATTTATTTTCATTTTATGATGAATGCTTCACCTGCATGTATGTAAGTGCACCACGTCTGAGGTCAGAAGGGGGTGTCAGAGCCCTTGGAACTAAAGTTACAGATGATTGTTAGCTGCTGTGTGGGTGCTGGGAACTGAACTTGGGGCCTCTGCAAGAGCAGCAGCTACTGTTAACCACTGAGCCAACTCTCCAGCCCCACTTTTTTTTTTTTTTTTCCTGAAACAGTCTTTTGATGAACCTGCAGCTCATCGATTCAGCTAGGCTAGCCAATGAGCTTCAAGGATCTGCTTGTCTCCCCAGCAGTGGGGTTACAGGCACACACTGCCATGCCCAGGTCCTTATGCTTGCTCTGTAGGCATTTTATCAATAGCCATCTCTTCAGCTCTCCACCTTAAGAGTCTCTCACTGAACCTAGAACTTGATGATTGGTTAGACTGGTTGACCAGTGAACTCCAGGCCTGTCTCCACCGTAAGGAGCACGGGACTTACAGACGTGTACTACTGTGCCCAACTTTTACATGTAGGGTGCTGGGATCCAAACTCAGGTCCTCATGTTTACGCAGCAAGCACATCTCCCAGTGCCATAGTCTTTAAATTTTGAAAGTTCTCCCTGGTGTCTAGCTAAAATGTCTCTTTCCACAGTAGAAGTCTGTAGTTGGTAGAATAATCTCCTGAGAGAGTCAGCCAATTTCTTACTGTGTTTGTACACAACCCCAAACCTTGGTCCCCTTCCCTACCCAAGAGTCCCAAGCTCTAAGAAGAGATAGACTCTCACCGAGGAGGTGGAGTCGGGGGAGTCAGCGGATAAGGCCTGTCGAACATGTGCATGTGGTAGGCTGGTGGAGAATACACAGGTGGGGGTTCTTCTTCAGAGCTATCAGGCTCCAAAGTCCTTTCCAAGATCTAAATCAGAGACAACAGAGAAGAATTATTAATAATTATTAATTATAATAGTAAGAATCTATCTTTGAATCTCAATGGCATTCAGTCAAACCAGGTGTGGGTGAGGGTGTGTATAGGAGTTCTGGAAGTGCAGCTGATATAGCTGCTTCTTTGCAAAGGTGGACTTATCTATAGACACAAACGCATTGCTACTATTGTCCCTCCAACTCAGCAGACATGGCAGCACACAGCAGTATCAGCCATTCAAGTAAGCAAGGCTCAAGAACAGCAAAACGAACACAGCATCAGAAGGGAGAACCGAGTGAGCTCTGTGAGTGGGTGAGGAGGGGAAGGGGCTCAGGGGACCCCAGGGCTGTGGAGGACATTTCTCAACGTGGGTGCTTATCATGTATGTATGTGCTGTGAAACTTCACTGGGTTGTACACTTTGGACCTGTGTCCTCTCTACACCTGTGCTATTCTCTGATGGCATCATTCATGACCCCCTCAACATATGTCCATATCTATTAACTTGACCCCAAACAGTCTGGCAAGCTAAGCCCCATTTTACAGAAGAGGAAATTAAGGCTCAAGTAGCTTTTGTTCTGTTTGTTTTGCCAGAGATGAAACCCAGAGCCTCAAACCTGCTAAGTGAGTGTTCTACCCCTCAGCTACACTCCAGCTCTTTTTACCTTTTATTTTGAAACAGGGTCTCACTAAGTTGCCCAGGTTGGCCTTGAAAGTGCTGTTGCGTTATTTTTCCTAGAGAGACATGAACAAGATAGGACACCAACGACAGGTCACCTAAGTCTAGAGGCTACTTATTAAAGGAGTGTGAGTGCCCTCAAAACAGCTGTATCATCGAAAGGCCCACCCCAGCATGGGTAATGACCTCCTGAAAGCTGTATAGAGTCTATAGAGTCCTCCCTGCTTTAGTTAACCTCTTGTATACTCTAGCATCTCTGAAGACCCCATGCACCTGGAGCAGGAATACATACAGCTGGGAGGGGTACGAGGGATGGAGGGACTGGCTGGACTCCCAGGTGATGGGCTAATGACCTTCCCCAACCTTTTGTGAGGGGACATCAACAGTCTGTTATGGCTACTCACAGCTGCTTGGCTGCCCTAATTAAGATGATAATGGCTATGTCATGCTTAGATGACAGTAGTCCACAACACTTCTGGTCCTCCTGCCTCAGACCACTGAGTAGCTAGGATTATAGGCCCTATGAGGCCAAATTTGATTAAATGACATGGCAAAAACCAGCCCGCTGGTTTTAGAATAAAGACTTCAACTTAGACCATGGTCTCTACAGCCAGGTCCCTCCTTCAGGTGGTCTGTACACCCAGGTGAGGTGCTCCAGGTGGATAAAGCCCAGATAACTGCTGTCCCTCCGGATACTTCTCTTAACCCAGGAAGCAGAGAGGAGGGCAAGGAGAGACCTGGGGCTGGGCAATGGCTGAGTTCCTGTGACCTGGCTAATCTGAACCTGTCCCCAGAGGCATCTGGGCAGATCCCCATCACATGCATCACTACTCCTCACAGCTCTGTTCTCATTTTCTCTAAGACCAAAGAACCTGAGAAGGGCTTGGAGGCCCTGACGGACACAGGCCCAGAGTCCTCTGTCCCCACTTGAACTCTCAATGAGTTTGGAGAAATCACTGCTAAAACTGGTGTTTCTGCCTCTGCTACTCTGGGCTGCACTGGCACATCTGAGCTCCAAGCCAGACATGCCAGCACAGGAGGCTGGTAGGGACACCCTGGCGGTAAACACACACACACACATATGCTGCAGTGCACTGCATAGCAGCCTGACCCAAGGAGGCTTCTGCCCTGGAATGCACCTTGTTCTTTCCTGTGAAGTAGAAAGTATTTAAACAGATGCTTCTGCTTGAAAAGACGAATGAGTTTGCTTGGCAGCCTGGCAACTGTACAGCTCACTCCAGATTCCACCAGGAGGGAGAGGGGATGGCAAGTAACCCCTTGTCACTGGTGACTCCCTGATGCCTGGCACAGGAGGTATTCATCAAGACCCTCAAGTGTCCAGAGGACTAACAGCTACCTCCCCTGGGCCAGGGCCCCACATTTCCCAGAGACCTTTGCTCTGAGGGACGTGGTCTGGTGAGAGGGAGAGAAGAGCTCTGTGGGAACTGGTCCCAGAGAAGCTGCCTGGGTTTCTCTGACCTATGGCATGACCCAGACGACACAGGGCCCTCTCCTGTATAGAGCAGTAATCTGGGGCAGCAAGACCAGACTACCCCAGGCTCCTGGAGAGGAACAGGGAAGTGAAAAGGAGATAGGAAGTGGACAGGCCATCTCCAGAAAAGAAGGTCTGCAGTCCCTGAGAAGGAAACTCCAGTTTCTTCCTGCCCTGCCCCGCCCCATCTTCCCAGCCAAAAGGAGCTTGTTCTGAATCTAAAGGTGCTAGAGGCTCTGTGGCCTCCTGGCCTAACTTACTGAGGGTGATGGATGTCTGCCAGGTGCTGGGGGAGGGGGCAGGGCCTGGGGCATTTATCTGATAAGAGCTATTTCTCTATGACAAGGATACCCTTTTGGCCAGCCCCTCATCCATCAGCCTCCAGAGAGGGGGCTTTTTCCAGTCAGCAGTTATTGCCATTCCTACTGCTGCTCATAAATTTTCTGCAGCACTTTGTGCTGGCTAAAGAACTGCCTGCTGATGGGCCCAGGCTGGGTGCCAAAGGTGGGGGTTGGAGGGGAGCCAAGGGAGGGGAGGAGAGCTGAGAAGGGGCTCAACCAGGACAGCAGGCTGCTTGGGAACACAAATGTGCCTACAGGGCAGGCACTAGGGGCTGGGGAAGCCTTGTAGAGGCCATGGGCACTATGGACAAAGTGGGAAACCCCCCATCTGTCAGAGTTTCAGGACAAACAGGACAATGGAGAGTCAGAGCATGCAGGGAACTTCCCAGCTCACACTAAAAGAAGGTACCTGCATGTTCACACAGGTGTACGTACTCCTTTCCGTAAGAGGGGTCTGGGTTTTTCAATATTCTCTCCACTGACTTATCCAGACAGTTTAAAAGAGTGTATGACAAGGAAAAAGATGACAGAAAACTGTACAAAAAGGTACATTAATAGGGCTGGAGAGATGGCTCAGTCCATAAAGTGCTTGCCACACAAGCACGAGGACTTGAGTTCAAGAGTCAGCATCTGTGTAAAAAGCTGGGTTGGGGACCCACACTTGCAATCCCTGTGCTGGGAAAGTGGAGACTGGAGTTACCCCATAGCCAGCTAGCCCTGCCTCACACATACTCTGAAAATACTCTACCAACCAAGCCACATCCCAGCCCTCTTTTTACTTTTTCTTTTGAGACAGGGTCTCCCAACATAGTGAGTCCCAGGTTCCAGTGAGAAATTCTGTCTCAGAAAACAAGGTGACTGGCTCCTGAGGAACAACACTCAAAATTGACCTCTGGTTCCACAAATATGCATACACACCCATGCATGCATCGCATCACACACACACACACACACACACACACACACACACGCAGCAGCAGCAACAACAACAACAACATTTGTTTATTCCAAACATTCCCTTTGTGCCTACTATGTGCCCCGGGAAAACAGGTGACACTGGGATAAGTCCTCATGACCACACAGTTTCTCCTCCACCGGGACAAAATCCACTAAGGGGTAGGGGATAGAGTCTCACTATAAACAAGGATACTGGTGTTCTCTGCAAGCATGGGGAACAGAAGAGATGTACTTCTGAAGCACACTGACATGCCCAGCACAAAGACTCAGCAAAGAGTGCAGTTCAGCTGGGTCTGGTGAGGCACACCTGTCATCCCAGCTTTTCAAGAGGCTGAGGCAAGAGGATGGAAAGTTCAAGATCTCCTGGGTTACAGAGTGAGGTCAAGGCTAACCTCTACGTTGGGAGACCTTGTCTCAAAAGAAAACGTAAAAAAGAGGGCTGGTGGTAGAGTGCTTGTAGAGCTTGTGTTCCGCCCTCAGTACTGAAGAAAGAAGAATGGAGCTCATTCCTGTCTTCCCAGTTATGCCTCACCCGTGGCCCTTACACTGACTGTATGCCTCACCCTTTGGCACTGAGAACTGCATGTCCTCCTAGGCTGGGGGTCAGATGGGCACAGAGCTCTTGGATGAGGCTGGAGAAGGCCCGCCACCCCCAGCAGGTGGGCCTTGATGCATTGTGGCAGGCAGTTCCCTCTCCCCTTGGCCGGCCTTCCTGCTGCCCTCTCTTACATGGATCAGAGGGACTGAACTGGCAGTTTTAAAATATTACCCCTGGACCTTTCCCACCTTCCTGCATCATCCCCAGCTCCCTACCTCTAGGGGTGCAGACCCATTCTTCTCAGCAGAGGGCATGGCCAACCTTAATGGTGTCTCTCTGAAATCTTGACAGGTAGTCCTGAAGCCAGGTCCCCAACAGCACTAATTCACTTCTGAGTCCCTCCAGAGCTGGTCACCTGACCTTTGCATCCTTTGCCTGCTCTTGCTTGGAGTTTCCTGTCTGCTGCTTGTACCTCTCCCACTCTGGCCCAACTCCTGTCTCCAGTCCACACTGGACTATGAGCTCCAAAACTTGGCTAAGGTGGATACCCTGGGGTTCAAGAGCCTTTCTTAAAAAATACACTGGAGGACTCCAGGTTTGGAACTGAGGGTGAGTGTGTTGGAGTGGGGCCCACCAATATGAATTTTTAACAAACACCTTGATTCTGATGACTTTAACCCAGGGTCTAATACCACGCCTACGAGAGCGTTAAGTGGATGCTCAGCATTTGTTGAATGATTGTATGAGATTTCTACCCATAATATAGGTTGTGGCCTCATCATAAGTTTCTCAGGGAGATATGCTTGTTAGAACCCAGCCAGGGGAGCAACCCAGCGCTGCTAGGAGAGGCCCGCCCCTGTTAGCACTAGGTAGCTGCCTGGCCCGCCCCTACCTCTGGCGGGATGCTGTCCTCAGAGTCTGAGCTGTCCTCATAGGCGCTGCCGCCACCTGCGTCCAGGTTCATCTGCAACAGCTGGTCGATGGTGGCATCCACGGCGCCGCTGTTGGCCCGAAGCACACACTCGATAATGTCGTAGTCCATGTTGGGGAACATGGTTTTGAAGTCGTCCATGGCCTGGTTGAACTCCAGGCGGCGCACCTGGCGGGCCGGCCGACTGTTGTTGAGCTCCTGCGGGGCCGCGCTGCCATCTCCGGCCCCGGCCCCGGCCCCGGCTCCGGCCCCGCGTGCCCCGGTGGCCCCGCCACCGCCGCTGCCGCTCCGGCGAAACAGGCTGGTCATCTTGCGGGGCCGCTGGGAGAGAATGTTTCTGACCCGCCGCGAAGCCCCCTGCCCTGGGTCCCTGCGCCCAGGGCCGCTTGCTTGCTCCGCGGGCTCGGGAGACTCACTCCTGCGCCTTCTCTGTCCCGCGGGATGCCCAGGAGACTACGCACGCGGGGCCCTGGGCGGCCCTCCCGGATCGCAGGTCAGCCACATCCCCAGAGCATCCTGCCGCAGGCTCCAAACGACAGATGGTGTCTTCTGAAAAGGTGGGACACAGAGTCAGAGGCAAACAAACCAGGATTCTGGTAGTGGGCTCCCTCCCTCCCCAGCCTAGGGGCCGCCTGCTTCTCTCTGCTCCCTCTCCAACTGCCATATTTGGCCTGGTTTGGGTGCTGGGGATAGAACCCAAGGCCATGTGCATGGCAAACGTTTTATCATATAAATAAATAATATCATATAAATAAATAATACTAGGAAAAAATATATATTCATCCCAATTAGGTTTCAAAGCTCTCTTTTGTTTGTTTTGTTTTAATTTTTGTTATTTTGAGACAGGGTTTCGTCTAGCCCAGATTGGCCTCAAAATGGAACTGTAGCTGAGGCTGGCCCTGAAGTCTTAATCCCCCTGCCTCAGCCTCTCCCATGTGCTGGGATGACACAGACACATGCCATCATGCCTGGCTTCTCAAAACTGTTCTGAGGAACCATGTGGATCTAAGTTCTGTTCCTATCTCACCAAACCCAGTACCTGAACCCATCCAACCTAGGTCCAGTCCCCAAGCTTAGTGTCCCTGAGGTCACAGAAACCACCCAACCCTCTCAGAGCCAGGTATGGAAATGGACACCAATGACAGTGCTGTCACTGTAGATATGGGATGGATATATATATATACAGGATCTCACACTGTAGTCCAGGCTGTCCTCAAACTCATGATCCCCCTGCCTCTGCCTCCCTAGTGTTGAGCCACCACATGCAGCTATTCAGAGAATATGCTTAAATTTGATGATTCAGGTTCAAACCTCTTCTCTGTTTTCTGTGATGGGGGGAATTATTAACAGCTAATGGAAAGCAAATCAAGGGGATCTTTGTCATGCTCACAGCAGCCAAGCACTGATCATCATGGTGAGAAAGACAGAACCAGAGGAAAGCATGGAAAGTGCTGTGGCAGGGTGGTCCCACCCCACAGGAAGACCCATGGGCGCCACTGATGCCTCCCCTTTAGGTCAGGCCTCATACATTTCCAGTGGCTTTGAATACTACCATACTGGGTTTCAAACATCTTACCTCCTCTCCCTCCTCAAAGAGTCCCTCAAATTGTCAACAGCTCTTTTCTGGGGACTGCCTACTGCCTACTCCCAGAGGGATGAATTGAATTTGACTTAAAATTTTTTTTAATTACATTTATCTTGTGTATGTTGCACACGTGTGCTATGGCACACATGTGGAGGTCAGAGGCCAACATGTGGGAGTTAGTTCTCTCCTTCCATGATATGGGTCCTAGGGATCAAACTCAGGTCATCAGACTTGTTGGCAAGTGCCTTTACCCAGTGAGCCATCTCACCAGCCTTTTTTTTTTTAAAGATAGGGTCTCATGTTGTCCAGGCTGGCCTTGAACTAATTACGTAGCTGAAGATGGTCTTGAACTCCTGGCTCTCCTGCCTTTACTTCCCGAGTGCTGAGATTACAGGCACGCATCACCACACCTGGCTAGGGGACTGGATTTGAAAGTGGAAAACTAGAGGCACATGGATTCTGAATAGCCAGCAGACATTGAGGTTACAAAGCTAAAGTCCCTTCCTGCCCTGAGAGAACTTCCTTAATGTGATCATGTGCTTATACCATAAGTAGGTATCTGATCTTTGCATATGTTACATGTGTATGAAGTTATTTTACTATGTGATTAAACCATAAATCCTACTATGCCACTAGTTCTGTCTACTTAATGGTATATTGTGGCCATCTCCCCACATCAGAACACAGGCAACCACTTCATCATGTTGCATGCTTGAGTGGTGGCCTGTCGGCTGAGTAAAGTATGATTTATGATCCCACTCCCTCCACCGCCTCCCTGCTCAGAGGAACAAGTCACAGCAAGGGAGGCCAAAGCCATAACACAGGAAGAAACAAGGGTGGCCTCCGATGATCAGCCCAGGGATTTGGTTATGAGCCCAGGAAGGTAGCCAAGTACATGTGGCTTCCTGCTGCTGGCTGCTAGCTGAGCAGCCCAGCCTCCTCTTCCCTCCTGCCCACCCCAACAGCAGGAGATGTCAGGCTGTGGCTCTACTAGGAGCACTCCATTCTGGGGGCCTGTGCTGAAGCCTCTAACACAGAGGACCTCTGGACCACAGAGCCCCAGAAGCCAAGACCCTGGTGTCATTACATATGGGATCAGAGCCTTGAGTTAAGGCTCTCAGGAGAACAGCCACCATCTCCCTGCTCCTAGCTTAATTTAGCAAGAAAGACTTAGAGTCAGGCTTGTTACTCTGCCAAGGGCAACCCCTTGAAGAAAGAAGCCAGGGCCTGGTCCATACCAGAAGAGAAAGAAGAATGATTGGCCTGTATTTTCCTTCTACACAAGTTTCTTGGGCCACTGGGTGCGAGTGTTAAGACATCTCTGACAGGCAGGTATTCTGAAATCTATTATTGACTCTCTGGTGGGGACTTGGACAGTCTTCTGTTCTCTATCCTCTCTGTGGCTCAGGGCCCACCTCTCAGGAGCCCTTTACGTAGTTTCTGTGCAAAAGAAACAAGCTGACCTTTAGCCCTATGCCTAGAACTTGGTGGGCTGCCCCAGAAGGCTGGAGAGCAGCCAGAGAAGGGAATACATGGTACTCTGCTCTGGCAGGAGGGATATAAGGGCTCAGGGGCTCTTTCAGCCCCTGGCTATGAACCCAGGAATGCCTTCAGGCCTCTGGAAGGAAATATAGATCCTCACCACCCAGGGAAGGTCCTGAAGCCTAGGCTGCAGAGGACATGCCAACTCAGGTAACCACCCAGACCTGCCCCTGCTCTAAAGTACAGATGAAGAGACAGGCTAGAGCCCAAGGACATGGAGTAAACCGTAGAAAAGCCTAGATCTTTTCACTAAGGCAGTCCTGTGGGTGAAGAGAAAGTGGCCAGAAATAGGAAGCCAGGGAAATAGGATTTGACAGACAGGACTCAGAGACTCCCAATGGCAAGGCTGCCTATAAGTAGCACTGGGTAAGGCTAGGACAGCCCTCAGTTCTCAGGGTAGAGCCCCTTTGCCCCTTGCTAAACTTAAGTCAGTGTGAGGCCAGAGCTATGGAATGCTAGCAGCAGGGGAAGGAGTCACTGTGTCAGGCTGCCTTTTGTAGCCAGCTCTACTCAAATGAAAAAAAGAATGGGGCATGCAGGTGACCTGGGTTTGTGAACTTGTGCCAGGCACTTTCATATGTCATCTTTATTACAGCTCCATTTTATAGCAGTGGAAACTGGTTCAGAGAAGTCAGGTAACTTGTCTAAAGCCACCCAGCTAGTGGGTAGAGAGACCAGAATTAGCAGCCTACTTCCTAAGAGCCAAAAATGCCAAGTAAGGCTTGTAGGGCTGAGGGCCAAGAAGCCTGAGGAATGCAGCCACGTGTGCCTGGGGCTCAAGGCATTCCATCAAAGGAAACATGACCCAGACAGCACGGGGGAGGTCTGCTGGCACTGCCTCAGACCTGGCTCTGTGACCTTGGGGAGGGCATGCCACCTCTCTGAACCCACTGCTGAGAGCTGGCAGGAGAAAGGGCGCTAACTCCTGACTAGCTTCTGGTGAAGGACGGGGATCAAACCTGCTGGGCCCGTTAGACCTCTCCATGCACATGTGGGTGTGGGTAATCTCAGGGCCTAGAAGCAGAAACCCCATACCCATCCTCCCCCAGAGCCCAGGGAGCCAGGCCATGGCAGTCTGCTGCCAACCTTCACTCAGAGTGTGAGGAGCCGCAAGGCCTGAGTCACCTGGAGGCTGGCCCAGGGAGGTAGGCAAGCTGCTTCAAGTGTGGCTCACCCAGTCTTATCCAAGGTCAACTCAGCCAGCCTCCTGCCTTAGGAAGACCTGTTCATGAAGGCCACTGCTGGCTTTATACCAGGGATGAGAGAGACTGAGGGCCAGAAGGCTGGGCTCACATCTGACCCCAGGAAGACCATGTGACTTGGGAAAATGATTTCAGGTCTCTGAACCCCAGCTTCCACTCTGTGGTAGAAGAAGGGATAGTGCATACTTGGAAAGAATGCTGGGATGGAGCTTATGTGGGTTCCTGGAATGGAGGAAGCTCCTGATGATACTGGGTACAGGCCTTGGTATCCCAGACTACACTTGCTCCCTGAGCAAATGCTGTGGTTTTAAGTGCCTTCTTCCCGCTTCATGCTGGCTCCTGCTCTAGACCTGTCTTGGAGACATTCCTTCCACCTCACATTTACATAACCTATTTTGACCTCCATACAGGGATGCACCAGCAACTCTAACAGAGTAGGTCAGTTCAATCCAGCTTGTGTCTCCTGTCTCTGCATCTCTGACCAGGTAACTTCATTCCTGAGGTCAAAGCTTTGGAAGTATCTTCAAGAACACTCATTCCTTACACCCTCTGTCCAGCCCACAACAATCCCTGTTTTCCTTGCCTTCAAACTGACCGTTGGAACCTTGTTGTTCCTCACCCCCTGCCACCTCCCTGTCTCCATATGAACTGCATGCTATGGTGTTATGTCCTCTCTTATTTCCAAAGCCCCCAATGGTCCTGTATGTCCTCAGACCACAACTCAAAGCTTCACTGTGACCCACCAGGACCCTTGGGGTCCTGTCCCTGTCAGCTGTTTGACTTTGTGGTGATGAGCTCATAGCTCAGTTGGTAGAGTGCTTGTCTATCTAGCATGCATGAGGCCCTGGGTTCAGTCTCTAGCACTGTGTAAATCAGGTGTGGTGGTGCATGTCTGTAATCCTAGGACTCAGGATCTAGAGGCAGGAGGATCAGAAGTTCAAGGTCATCCTCAGCTACGTATTGAGTTCAAGTCCTGCTTGGAGTACACAAAACCCTATTTCAGGGGGTAAAAAAAAAAAAAGCACATGTGTGCCCACACAAGCACATCCACAGAGACACACATAGATACATACTCAGGCACCAGTCTCTCTAAGCACCCTATGTTTTTGTCAGTCTACCAACAAGGCAAGCACACTCCTCTCCAGGGCTTCTGGCCCTGCTACATCCTCCCCCTCCACCATCTCCCACAATCACATGGCTGGCTCTCTCTCCCTTCCTTC